TATATATATATAAAATATTAATATTTAATATATATATTATATATTAAATATTAATATTTTATATATATATATATATACGATTATGTTATATGTATAACATATAACATAATCGATTATGCTGTATATATACACAACATAATCGATTATGCTATATGTATAACATATAACATATATATGTATAACATATATATGTATAACATATAGCATAATCGATTATGTTATATGTTATACATATAGCATAATCGATTATGTTGTGTATATATACAGCATAATCGATTATGTTATATGTTATACATATAGCATAATCGATTATGCTGTGTATATATATACAGCATAATCGATTATGCTTCGTTCTTCTACTGCATGGCACATGCATGGGAGGGGTATTTTTAGATTTTCACAAATCTTACGTGTCTTTCACCTCGTTTCTTCTCTTTTGTGCGAGGAGAGCAACAGTGCTTTCCCTCTCCTTTCTTCGCCTTTCTTTCGTTCCAAATCAGGAAAAACAAACGGATACTTTTCACACCTTTCTTTGCTCGTATACAGTACTTTCCTGGAAACAAACACTACCTTAAGGACGATCTGGTCCAGGGATTGAAAAATATTTTATTGTACTTGAGATAAAAAAATGTTACTTTATTTATAATAATATTTTAAAACAAAATATTGTCAAATAATTTATTTATTTGTTCAATCTATACTAACATTTTAATAAATGTAAGTAGATAAATATTATTAAAGAAGAAAAATGAAATAGTAATTGAATTGTTTAAAATGTTTTGCATCCCCTACTTTTAGCTTCTTAAATTTGTCACTAAGGATGAGAATAGGTCATGTCTTAAATACGGGTATATGATTGCCTCTTTAAAACTAGGTCTAGCTTGATCCTGTTAAATAGAAATGTCAAGTTTAGACTTTTAAAAAAGTTTATTTATATAAAAAGTTTAGACTTAAGCTTATAAAAAAGTCTATTAAACCTAATATAGGTCAACCTGTTTATTTATATAATATAATAAAAATTAATATATATATTATTAAAAATATAAATAAACAAATAAAATTATAAAATAAAATAAAATTATCAATATTTAAAATATAATTTTTATACAATTTATTTTTTCATCATAGGGTTTATAAGTTTACAATCTCTACGTATGAATTGATCCTTCAATAAAAAAAATGATTCAATTTTACTCTTATATTTTTTTTAAAATTTAAATTTTAATAATATTAAATAAATTTAAAGAGACTAATAGGCTAAGCCAGACTTCGAAAATGATAGGCCAAACTTATAAAAGAAGCTCATAATAAATAATAGGTCTAACTTTAACTTTAATTTTGTAGAACAAACTCAACCTATATATTTAAAGTATGATCTTAACCTATTCTCATCTTTATTTACCACTTATTCTTCCACGCTCAAGGTACATGGGAATCATAGAAATCCTTTAAATTTTAGAACTCGTAAGTCAATCAACTTAAGTCAACAATTAAAATTCATATGAGGCATATTTCCTTCCACGTAACCATATTATCCAAAACTAGGGACCAATTCTATCTCTATGCTAACACTACAAAAAAAAAAAAACTAGAATTTAACGAGGGTTATTTAACTGAGATTATCATAATTTCTAAAAATGTATGAAATTATCAAAGGTTTATTAACCTTAGTTAAGTTTCATCAATTTATACTAAAATTCCCGGTAACATTTAGATATTTTTTATTTAATTTAATTTATTCATTAAAAATTATGATTCCTACCTTTTTGTTTTTAATTATTTTTCACTTTCTCCACTTTCGTTCTCTCCTCTCCTCCTTCCCCACGGCCCTCTCGCCCTCCTCGGCTTGGTCGTTGGCACCGCCGCCCGCCTCCTCCTCGATCTCCACCCCGCCGCCGTCCTCCAGGTCGGCCGCGAGTATTTGAACCTCGCCAGGCTGGAGCGGGACCATAAGGAGCGTCTCTTCATCTACGTCGGGAACGCGCTCGACGCCACTGTCCTTCAATAGGTCCTTTTATCAGGCTGCACGACGCTCTACTGTTCACGACAACTGCTTGCACAATCTTTCGCTGTTCGAACAACGTTCTACTATTTGTGTAAGATCCTCTCATTTTTTTTATTCTTATAAGATTTTTATATATAGCAATTATCATCATGTATATTCCATCTTAGGGACATTTTATTTGGTCCTGCAACTGACAGATTTGTGCGGAAGGGGAAATAGGGGGTTTTGTGGGGTTAGGTAATGATTCCCCTGTTCTTTGTTTGAACACTGAATTCTTGCTTTGTTACTGGATCATGAAAGATTCACTCTTCAAAGAAGTAATTTCCTTTACTTATACGAGTTATAATGGAGTAATGTCAAAGTTAATTATATATGCTTTAATAAAGAAATGGAGAGGATTGCATATAAATTAAATAGAAGCATACTAGATAGGTTTGCTTGTCTAATCGTGGGTGGGAACTGAATCTGATTTATTCATGAATTAATCAATCATAACCCAACCAGCAAACACTGTGATTGGGCACATCCTAAACTAACTTGGCTGTCTTTTGCATTGCTCATATGTTTCCACGGCTCCACACATTTTTCATCAATAATGGGTAACAGAGTTACGTTACATTACATATTTCACATGTCTTGCATATATAATATAGCCCTATAACTTGTAATTAACCTAAACTAGGGAAATGATCCTCTAGATCAGTTAACAACCTCTGGGCACTTTATGTCAGGAGAAAAATTTGTTAGAGTCAACAAGTAAGATATATAGACTGCTATATATGTATGAACGGGTAAGGTTTTCCTTCCGATATGATATCCTAGATTTGAGCTTGAAAGCACTAATAAAGTTCGGTCTTTCACATGCCAAATGTCAATGCCTGAATCTTGTTTATGTTTTTTTTCAAGATATAGAAATGTGTATTAATTTTATTTCTGGTGTTGTGTCTTAAGAGTCTAAGATTAAGAATGGGCTTTTGTTATAGCGCAAGCTTGTGATAGCATGAGTTATGGGATGATTAATAGTGTTGGCATTATGATGAGCATGGAGATCTCTATCGCTATCATGTTTGTGGTCGCCGCGGTAGGTGGCAGGGCACAACAGCCAAACGTTGATGCCGACTACTAAAAATGATAGTTACCAATTGGGAAAAACGATAATGAAAGCACTTTTCTACCCCCAACTAAAAAAACTTGTGATATAAACTTTAAAGATGTGGTGGTGTCTTGTCATCCTTTATTTTCATGGACTCTACTCTGTTTTGAATCCAACATTTTTTAAACAAGTTTCTATGATATCCAATATTTTATTATGCTTTTGCAGTAAAACAATGTCTATTTCAATTTGGGTTAATGCTTCTCATCTCGTAGCCACAAATTTAAAGATAACTGCCACTTGTAACTATGAAATAATTAGACCGTTATAAGCAAGATCACACATTATATTGTATCTGATCCTGAATGATCAAAATATCAACTCGTCAATCATTGAGGTGAATATATATAATCTAGAAAATGCTTCTCAATAAGCTGATTCTTATAACAGTAGCAATTCAATTTGAAAGATTTTTGTGTCCACATGCTAACACTAGTATATCTTTTATCAGCTAGACTTTGATCGGCATGATAACTGAGTTTCAAATTTAGAACTTCGAAAAAGCCCTTCTGCATGCTAGTAAGTTTATTGAATCATACTTTTATTTATTGAGCGAGTATTATATAATCTCATTGCTATCATATACTAACTAGCAATAAAAAAAACAGTCCATATAAAATATTAAAATTTTCTTAGTGTGTAGAATATATCACCTACTGCAGTCTCTCAATTGGTTGAGTCCTAGTTCCTATAATGCTAATTAATATCAACCCTTTACGTTGATTTCCAAATCTAACGTGTTAATACATGCAAGATGTGTATTATATGATTCATACTCTATGTTCAATATGTTTCCTTTTTATTAGGTTTACTTATTGGAACCCTGAATCATGTGTTTTTCTTTTAGTCAAAGTGATGAACAAGGCCTAATCAGTAATCAGCAATTTGCAGTGTTATCATACACCGACACAAGACCATAAACAAACTTTACTTAACCATGGCTCCAAGTTTGAACTCTTCAAAATCATTGCATGACTTTGTGGTCAGAGATGGCAATGGAGTGAAAGGCTTGGTAGACTTGGGATTATCAGAGGTGCCAGAGATGTACATACAACCCCCAGAGGAAAGAATCAAGAAGGAAGAATCAAAGTCATGGGATGTGCCACCCATTGACTTGTCAAAGCTGAATGGAGCTGAGCATGAGAAAGTGGTGGATGAGATTGTTAGAGCAGCTGAGACTCTTGGCTTCTTTCAGGTGGTGAACCATGGTGTGCCTTTGGAGTTGTGGGAATCACTTAAAGATGCTGCTAACACATTTTTCAGCTTGCCAAGAGAGAACAAAGCTGTTTATCTCACAGGGGTGAGTAGAAGTGCAAAGGTGAAATATGGGACTAGCTTTACACCTCATAAAGAGAAGATCTTGGAATGGAGAGACTACATCAGTTTGACATATAGTAGTGATGAAGATGCTCTTCAATGTTGGCCTAATCAGCTCAAGTATGACATTCAACTTGTTTGAATATAAGTTACAAAAGGTTTTTAGATTCTCTATTGAAAATAAAAAGTATTTTTAGTATATTTTTTTTTAAAAAATATTTTTAAATTTGTACTCAAATAGACTCATTTTATTTTTATTCTCTCTACTACATTATTCCCAAAATATTAAACAAATGAATGATTTACTTTATTTTTTTTTCATAGTTTTCTCATGTAAAAATACTTCTAGAAAAAGTTTATCCAATAGACTATTTACATTTAATTAAAAGTTTGTGCAATAAGATTAAGGGTCTAAATGGTTTCATTTGGTATTTTCAGGGAAGTTGCACTTGAGTATTTGAAATTGTCATCCAAGATTGTTAGAGACATCATGGAAATTTTGATTACGAAGCTTGGAGTCGAACTTGATGACTCAAAAATTGAAGGCCTTATTGGTATCAAGAAGGTTAATATGGTATACTACCCACCATGCCCAAATCCAGAGCTTACAGTGGGAATAGGGCGCCATTCAGACATTGGAATCATCACAGTGCTACTCCAAGATGACATTGGCGGTTTATATGTCAAAGTGGAATCAGAAAATGATGCTGAAAAGGGAGAGTGGCTGGAAATTCCCCCAACCCCAGGAGTTCTAGTGATCAATATTGGTAACACTTTAGAGGTTTGGCTCCTTCAAATATGAGATTTAAGTAGAATAACTCAAATTCTAGAATTTGAAAATACAATTAATTAAAACCCAGTTTTTGATTGCCACACAATAACTCACATTTCAATTGTTTTTACTTAATATATGGTTATGTTTGGATAACTTTCTCCAAAATTTCTTATAGGAAAAAAAAAGAAAAAAATTGAAACATTATTTTACAAGTTAAAACTAGTTTATGTATAAGTTAAGAATAAGATTTTGAAGAAGATAATAGGAGAGAAATTTTACAAATTATCTTATTATAAGGTATTTTAACTTATGAAGAAACTCCTAAAAATATTTTTGAAGAAAATTATTCAAACAGACTCTTTATAAGTTGCATCCAAAGCTCCCATAATGTGCTCCCTTAATACAATAGTATTATTTTATTTAAATATAGAACAAAATGAACATATATACTATAGTAACTGTTTTTGATACACCTGTGTATGTTAAATGGTAGATACTAAGCAATGGAAAGTATAAGAGTGCTGAACACCGAGCAAGGCCAAGTAGCACCCAAACCAGGGTATCAGCTGCAGTGTTTACTATGCCTACAGCTACAGAGACCATTGGCCCATTTCTTGAGGTGGTGAAGAATGATGGGTTGGCCCGATACAAGGATCTAGTTTTCAAGGATTACATGGACCATGTCTTTGGAAATGTCCATGATGGAAGGAACTCTCTTGATTTTGCAAGGATCAACTCGCCTAACTAGTATGAAGAATTTGAACTAAGAAGTTTGTACTTAATTTATCATTCTGGAAATTTTAACTAAGTTTGTTCTTCCTTTATCATTTCATGTTCATGAATAAAATCGATTTTAAATTGTATCATTGTCGATAAAATCCCAAAAGTTAGCCATGCATCCTAATAGAATTTCTCTTTACTTAATATATGGTTATGTTTGGATAACTTTCTCCAAAATTTCTTACATTCTCTTATGTAAATTCATAATATATCAAAAAATACTAATTTAATTATAAAATAAATAACCCAAATTATGTTTATAAAATGAAAATTAAGATAAAATTATAGAGATTAAAATTATAAGATTCCAATAATGCTATAAAACATTAAAAAAGAAAATGAATTAATAAATAATAGAAATAAGAAATTATTAAAATTACAATATAAAAATTCAAAAATTTAAGGCAAAAAGACAAAAATATATTTTAAAAATTATTAAAATTAAACTATTTAAATATATAATAATAGTATTACAAAGAAAATTAAAACATAAAATAAAAATAAAATGACCAAATACTTTAAAAAAAATAAGAGATTAAAATATCATAAATATTATATAAATAAATCCTAAAGCCTAAACAATAAAAAAGAAAATAATTAATAAATAATAGAAATAAAAATTATTAAAATTACAATATAAAAATTCAAAAATTTAAAGTGAAAAGACAAAATATACTTAAAAAATTATTAAAATTAAACTATTTAAATATATAATATTATTATTACAAATAAAATTAGAACATATAAAATAAAAATAAAAAACTAAATAATTTAAAAAATGAAAGAATAAAATATTATAAATATTATTTAGATAAATTATTAAAAATATAAAATATAAAATAAAATTATAATTACAATTGTACCTGTACCTTCTCAAATAGTATGGGTATCATAGAATTTCTCTTAAAAGAATTTCTTTCAAATTAGGAACCAATAAGACAGTTTTAGTGAATCTTGCTTGCAATAAAACTAATATTTGACAAATTGATAATTAGTCAAAATAATTTATTCGATTTCCATATCGATATTTATTAAATGTGAGCTTTGGACCTATTGTTGGATAATTTCTAAGTGTGATTGATTCTCGGTGTCTATCTTCATATTTTTTTTTGTTCTAGAACTTGTTTTTGCCACCCTTTCAAGGATAATTAACTTTTTGTATGCTTGCTTCAATATGATTAAGGGCAAATTAGGTTTTCTTTCTTATTTTAAACTTTGCTACATTACTTTTTCATGTTTGAGCCTTCACTAGTATAAAATTATTGGACTACATCATCATTTTACATCGGTTATTCTAGAATTGACCTAGCAAAGGATGTAGTGGGATATTTGCAATTTTGGCATCTTTTTCTACGTCGATCGTAAAATAATTGATGTAGAATACCCAATTTTACATTGATCTTATAACTAACTAACATAAATCAAATGTTATGTTGATTTTTGATTATAAAACTAGTTTATCGACGTAGAACTCCTTTAATTTCATTAGCAATTGTCATCACCCATGTTGCATAGACTATGTTCTCATTGCTCATGTGTTCATTATTTGTCCTCACTTTGCACTGACCCAACTTTTACATTGACCTCTTAGCATAATTAAAATTATTAACCATTAGGTTTTCTTTCAGCATCATCTCCCTCACAAGTTGGATCATTCGATTAAAATACTCTTTAGAGATGTTATAATCGAATTTCAAGCTTAGAGCTACTAAAGAATCTAATTATTCAATACGATTCTTGCATCCTTTCCACAATGGTGCTTGCATAGTTTCAAGCATGTCAAAGAATTTTTCAGCTTTGGGATTAGGACATTACTTCATGCATTCAAATCAAATTATGTCATCTTGTTTTTGTTGGTCCCAGTGTACGTACTAGAATTTAGAAGGGGGAGGTTGAATAGATTATATCCTAAGATAACTCTCTTTTCCACGATTCTTGAAAAAAAACCTCTCAAGAAATCTAAAATACAACATTTATGCAATTTTGAGTAACAAACAACAGTAGATTACAAGGTTTATTACTGACGTAACAAAATATCAAAGTATGTGCAACGAATCAATCACTTGTAATCCAGGTTAATTTCATATTACCTTCCTTTTAATCAAGTTCAATTACAAGAATAGAGATCAGAGTTGGTACTGTAATTGAAATATTACATAAATTTCAAAACCAATTAAGTTTTTAGAATCAAAAAACTAATAATTAATTTTTTTGAATCATAAAAAACTTTTCAAGAAGGGATAAACAAGCTTATGAATAGAAGAAGTTAAAACATTTACATAATGTTTAGTTAGAGAAAAAGGAAAGACTTTTCATAAACTTCTTTTACTAACAAGCAAAATTTCTTTTAAACAATGAAACCAAAATATGTTAAAATATATTGACATAAAACTAGAACAAATTATCTTGTGGGGACTAATGAAGTTTTCAACGGTAAAAGAAGCTAATACAACAACAAAGAACTTTTTTTTTTTTTGAATAATTTGAATTTGTCAAGTTAAATACCAGCTAACTTAATATGGGTTTAATGATAAATTTGACTTAAAGGGTTGACTAGTATCGGGATTCATTTCTAGCATACATGTCAATTGTGTGACACCCTTACTACCCCAACACATACATCGTAATAATGTAATTAAATTAAGAAAATAAACTTTGAAAGTTGGTAAAAGAGTTCACATAAAACTTCATAACTGTTCTTTCTTCAATGTCCAAAATAACTGGAAATAAAACTTGAAAGGTAAAATTTAAGAGTTTACAAATTGTTTTCAAAAGACAAGGTTCAACTCCATATACAAATACAATTCATGTCCTAGAAATCCTCTGCCTCGATGTCACAATATCAGAGCATACCCATAAATCAACTGTTGACATTCTAGATGTCACTCATAGCCGGATCTTCCTCACCTAAAACATCCACAAGTTGTACGGTGAGAAAAGAAAACATCTATATAGAAAGCACACAAGGGAAAACACAACATAATCTCATCATAACTCCTTATTTAATGAAATATTTACAAGCATTTATATATATCATAATTTATCAATCATTCATCATCTTCACATCTCAATTACATCAATCCATCACAATCCACACAAATCTTACAATTAACACTATGCCAAGGCCACACCACATCTGAGATAATTGATACAGGTTAATTGCCTCACTCATCCCACACCATGTCACGGTCACGCCCTCCCTGTAGCATCACTTACCCAGGGGCCGTGCCATCCCTGGTCATTGATGTGTGGAACCACAATCACATCACAATCCACACAAATCTTGTAATTAACCTTATGTCAGGGTTTCCATATTCGACATAAGTGATACATGTTAATTGTCTAACTCATCCCACACCATGCTAGGGTCACGCCCTCCCTGTAGCATCACTTACCCAGGGGCCGTGCCATCCCTGGTCATTGATGTGAGGAACCACAATCATAATCATATTCACATTCATCACATCTCATCTTATAGCTCAATAACTTATCACATACACACAACAGATAAGTCCAACAAAATAAGGATTTACACACCCCTCAAGCAATTCACATCTAGATCATCAATTCTTATCAAGTAATATAACAATAACATTCATAAATTAATATAATAATCAATGGAATTACACATTTAATATAATCTTAACATAAATAGTGTTCTTACCGGGGATCCGAGGTAGGGATGATCCGCTGGGTAAGATTGGTGAGCCTCCTTCGCTAGTACGTTGATGCTCCAAGATGGGGGTGGTACCTGCAAAAGAGACTCCGATGCTAAAGTTAGGGTTTGTGGGAGTATGAGTCTCGTATAAGTAATGCACGTACCTTGGTGTGAATTAGGGTTTCGTTGGGCCTTGGGCCTGAGATCAGTTATGACCTAATTAGATAGCGGACCTCGTCTTGGCCGAGGTCTCCTAGCGCATGTCTGAGGTCGTCCTGCGCTGTGATTCCGAGCTTGGAGCTCGGCTTCGTGGTACGGATAGTTCACTAGCCCCTCGAGCTCTGAAGACCGTGGGTCGAGGAGTTAAGACCAAGCTCGTCAAGGGGCAGTGACCTTTCGCGTACGCCTGCCTGTCAAGATGCCATGTGTCGCAACTGTCGCCTCGTTCTCAGAAACGTGCAGGCGGCGTGTTAATGGGAGTGACGGTTATGCAATGATGACTTGTACTTGTTATAATGGGTTTTATTTAATGTGTCGTCAGTTGTGTTCCCTGACCGACACGTGTCATGGCCGTTTTGAATTTTGGAGGTTTCTTTTCTCTCTCTTTCTCGCGCCCCTTCCCATTCACTTTACTCTTTTCACCTTTTCTTCCTTCCTGACTTCTCGTGCACGCTGCTTCCTATGCCTCTGTTCATTTTCCATCTTCATTTTCTCTGTCTCTGTCGCCGCTTCCGGTAACCCAGTTGTTGTTAGGGTTGTTTTCTGAGGAAGAGTACCAGGTACTTCCTTTCTGTAGTCTTCTTTCTCCTTCTTCTCAAATCTTCTTTCATTCTTGATGGCTGGTAACAGTGGTGCCACTTCCTCCGTGCCTGCCAAGGGCAAGGGTAAGGCGCGCGGCAAGGCGGTGGCTACCGGGACGGCCGCTGCCGAAAAGAAAAAGGCAGAGAACCCGCCCAAGGATCTCGTCCCCAGCATTCCTGGCTACGATTGGGTCAGGCGTGACGTGGGGGAGTGTTAGAGTGTGTTCAGGTCCTTCTTGAAGGTCAATGCGATACGGAGATCGCACAGGGTCTATGGTTCTTCCGTCTTTGCGTTCGTCCAGGTCGAGCCCTGTCGGCCCGACGAGCGTGTCTATATGGGGGGTCCTTTTGACCCTCCTTTCTTTTATGTGTACTAGTGTCTTTTCAGGGATTTAGGTGTCTGTCTTCCTTTCACTTAATTTGAGTGTGACTTTTTGAATTTCATCAACTCGGCTCCTTGCTAGTTGCACCCCAATAGCTGGGGTTTTTCGAGGGCTTTCCAGGTCTTATGTTCGGCCTTGGGGATAGAGGTGTCTCTGCCCATTTTTCTTCATTTTTAACAGTTAAAAATGGGTGTTCCTCCTTATGGCTTAATGTCTCTAAGTGGGAGTAAGGATGGGGGTCTGTTTTCCCTTTACTCCCAGTCATATAAAAATTTCAAACAAG